TTTGGAACATGAATGTTATTTATGCCTCTTTAGTCACCAAAAATAAAAACAAATCTTACATATTGAACATCAAATATTGTTTATATGTTTAAATTTAATGACATCATTTTTCAACGTTTTAATTGTTTGTTATTCTTAAGTTGTAACTTAATAACTTGGCTACCACATCAAGACGACGTGTCGAAGGCCTATGCCACTACCTCAATGGACAAGGTCACACTTACAGGTTGAATGTACACAACTTATACAACAATCGTGTCCGGGCTGTAACCTTGTCATGCATTGAAGGATTTTAAAATAACCTTACACAAAAGGCTACCTCTTCTTCTTGATGATGTGTCGCGTCAAAGAGCCATGACCTTTACTCAAAGGTCACGGTCACAATTACAGTTTAAAGGTTCACATTCTCACATTTGTGACCGGACTTCAACATTGTCATGCATAGACGCGTATACAATGTATATCTTCAAAATAAGACAAAGTGTCGTGTCCAAGATCCATGACCCTATCCCTGAGGTCAATGCCATTCTTATAGTTTGCAGGTACTCATTCTCTCGTTTTTCACTCACAAATTGTTTCAATACTCGTTTTGAAAGCTCGATAAGAGGAACGGAATAGAGCTTCTTAATGTCAGACAAAGTCACAGTTAAAATAAGCAACATGATACGACACATTTTAAAATGACGAAGTTGAATTTTATAAAGTATGCTTCGAAACTTTGTAGTGTACATTTTGCTCAAAAAATCTTTTGTATTTGATCAATAAAAGAAGGGTGTATGCCATTGTTAAAATTTTTTTACATTTTTTTTTTGCAAACGTTTCTTAATATATTTCTGAACAACACCTGCAAATGCATCGAAATATTTTTTTTTAAATTTACAAACCCTTAAAGCTGTCTTAATAATGAAGTTTTAATAATACTGCGTTTATTTATTTTAAATAAAACTTCAGCGTAAATGGAACGATTTTCACTGTCATCACGTCATTTGTTTTCCTGTTTTGGTTGTTAATCTGTTAAGCGAACAGAAACGGCGGTACATCAAAACAGAGTGTTGTAATAACCTCAGGCACCAGCTCGGGCCTGACATTATTTACGGAGGGGCGCCTAAGGTCTTTCTCTACCAGTAAGCTGTCGCCATTAAAGACACACGGACCCCTAAAGAAAGTCCAAAACAACAAAATCGAAAATGTCGCAAGCGTGATTTGATTGAGCCTGTTCATGGGCGGTACTGGCAAGTGCAAACTACCGTGTTTTCGTAAGACGCGACTTATACGCCGGATTAATACGCAATAATAGGCTCAATCTTTAGTCCGGTGAAATGATCTTGAAGACACTTTAAGTATATATTTTATTTACATGTATGAGCTGTTTAGTATATTTACCGGTCTCCTGCAATTTATATTGCACAATACCGTAAAAAAAACAGTCAGTTAGGTATACAAATATAGTTTTCTGAGTTTGAGTTTACGAATTATAAGAAAACTATTTTCCCTTGTGTGTAATCGAGTCACGGGTAGATGATTTCGCGCTATTTTCATAGCGCAGTATAGAAGTATTGAATGTGTCATTCAGCTTTGCGAGGCGTAACTGAGCGGACAGTAAATTTATTCACAAAGATTAGTAATATTTCTTATTTGTTGAGTTTGGAATATATATGCTTATGTTCAATTAACTGCGCTGTTCTGTTATATATACTACAGAAAATTATTTGCACCGTTGTTTTTGATGGTTGTATTTAATCTGTATAAGCATGTATTATTGAGCGTAACAAAATTAGTGTATAGTTGTTTGTCATGTTCATGTATTCATGCATGTTGCGCCTCGCAAGTGCTTCGTGCTTAACGAAAATCAAATAATAATTTGAAATGTTATGTTTAGTTATTTTTGTTTTTCATGTTCGTCACATACGTGACGAAATGTTCACGTAAGGGAATAGCGGCATTTCAATTATTATGTTATATTGTGACTTCCGATAAAGGCCTCGAGCACAATAATTATATACTCGCATTGGGTACAGTATTTTGGCCTAACCTACGAATACATATAGTTAGTAAATGCTGGGAATTGTTATAAACCAAAATAGAGGAAAATAGAATCCCTATAGAACGCCCAAAATTGCAAAATTGAAAATGTTGCAAGCTTGGTTTGACTGGGCCTGTTCATGTGCTGTACTGGGAACTACTTTCTTAAGATATTCTAAGATATTTTCATAATGTTTTCGTCTTCAAAACTGCCTTTGTAGATTTTCCCTAAAAAACAATTAGAAGCTTGTCTTGCACACTGAGGAAAATGATATACTAAGTGCTTATACATGTATGTTAGTTCAATAGATTGCTTATTGTGACTTAAAAGGGACAACAAGCTTTATAGCTTTTTTTCAAAATAGCTAGTGCCTACGAAACCCTCGCTTTAATTTTAATTAATGTTTTTTAAATGACAACAGAATTCTGCTTTTTGTAATAGAGACATAAATGCCCAAACATGCAATACTTTAAAAATGGACATATGCGATTCAGGAAGCCTTCACACCCCATTTTCCCGAGAGTAGATATGAGTATTATATATTGAAGAGCATGTAACAATCAAGCAGCCCTATCTCTATTCCATATTGTATTTATGGCCTTCACGCTTGCCAAAAAATAATAATCATAAATCTTCATTAAAGATTCTTTTTAAAAGTTGATAGGGAATTAAATGTTATTTCTATTTGAATAGATGTGACTAAAAAAGTCTATACAGGAATATATAGTCGAAAGATATCTTCGGCTTGGGAATTTTTCATTAACTGAGGGAGCAACTTATTATTTTTATTGTACAAGTTTGAAAGTCGTAACGCTAGGTCAAAATAAGCCGGAAGCCTCAAGCACGGAACCGGAAAATACATTCCAGAAATAATACCAAATACCGTATTGCATAAATTTGTCGAAAGAATAAGAAAAACAAATATTGCACAGAAACAAAAAGCTAAACTTATCAATTTAAACCATTATTGTAATTATTTTACATTAACTAAAGAGAAAACAGGTGAAATCGCTCAATCAAAAGTCAGTGTAAATATGATTTATTGAAAAGAATTCATGAAAACAAATATTTTATCATCATTATATCTTTGCGCTCAAAGCAATACTTTTTGCTTTTTAAAAATGGCGTGAAAATTGAAGGTTTTTTGACGCTATGTAAAATCAAATTTGATTGGCTTAATTATTTTGGATTCCAGCCCAGACAGATAAATTTTGTAGAAAGCTGGAAGCCAAGGTTAGATTAAATTTTTGGATGGATTCGGAGTTTTAGGTTGTTTCTAAGTAAAATCCTAACGTAATACCGGCTCGCCGTGGCGAGCCGGCACAAACAAGTCATATTAAGTTCGTAGCTTATTTTCTTTGCAAATAGATGATTGCTCCTACAGATAACCATAAAACAGATTTATATTTAATGTTTTTTAAAGACATTTCCAGAATTACTGCTTATTGTTAATAAAGACAATAAATGGCCGTTTAAACTAGTGGACATATGCTGTTTTAAAACTAGTGGACATAGGTTGCTGATTCAAGAGAATCCTAACTGACACACCTGACATTTTGTCCCCGAGAGTAGATATGTTTACTCGTACTTATTTAGATCATTTTCAGAGCATATAACCATTCAAGCAGCCCATATCTTATTTCCAATTATTGTTTGTAATCCGAGCTTCACGCATTTTGCGCAGTTTAAAAATAATAAACAATAAAATCTGTCATTAAGATTTTTTGTAAATGTTGCACAATGATAGGAGAAATATCACAACCTGCCTTTCCTATTTCTCATAGATTGTCGGATAAAAAAGTTATCACACTGCCTTGTGCTACATATAAACGTCAAAGCATAATCTCCTTAGACTTTTTCATTAAAAAACTGAGATGTACAAGACAACACCTATATATGACGCCTTTTTTACTTGTAAAAATTGTGTTGAAATGTGTTACGCTAAGGCATAAGAATAAGCCGTCGTATTAAGTGCCTTCAGCACTTTGATCTTATCTTCGAAAATACTTCCAAATGATATTTAACCACAATTTATCGTATTGCTTTATTTGTCGAAGTAGATTAATCAATTAACAAATTTCATTACCATTACAGAATATCTTTATAAAAAAGCAAATTCACAGTATTTAAACGGTCATTTATTGATGAAGAATGTTTTTTTCATCAAGTTTAATTTTTTATTATAAGCAAAAATAGTAATGTCGCGGTTAAGATATTTATCAGCTAAAATAAAGTTAAATGCACGCACGAGGGGTTTATAAAATGATATATACATTATTTTACTCATTGATAGGCTGATGAATAATGGGATAATGTTACCTGTAATTTAAAGATATTTTATTTTTGTAAACAGTTTATATTTAATCCATGTATAAAAAATAGTATTTTCAAGGGAAATTTTAAATTCACGAGTATCGCATTTTAATTCAAATCATTTAGGAAAATGATTACAATAAATCTATTATGCAAATAGTTGTGTCTCTTAAAGGTCATACTGACGAGCATGTTTCTATTCATTTAAAATTAAAAACCTACTATTGCATTAGAAAAATCATATCAAAATTTAACCTTCTCATTACAACCATTACAGAAAATTATCTTATAGCATATTAGTAGAAACATATACATGTTTGATTATTCTTGTTGTGTCTACAATATTTGATTGATACTATAATATCCGCGAAAATTGGATTTTAGTTAGTTTATGCTGATTCATTTTAGTTCGATTGTGTCGGAAAATTTAAGCTTATGGAAACACACTCATATCCGTTATATTAGTTCACGTCATTGTTTTAAATACATACACGTGCACGCACACATAGGAACATGCACATTATTATTAAACAATACATTATAAAATGGGAAGTAGAACGTACATAAAGGGTGAATTAGATTTTTACAATGTTTCACGTACAACAATTTTTATTTCCGTGTTTGCACTCGTTGTTTTCATCAATTATTTCCGGCTATTGTACATTGTGCGTTTCTTTGAATTCAATATTAATATAAATTGTGTTGAGCAAGGTATCGGAGTACAATTAAACGGTGATATAATGAAATACTGTCGAATAACATATTATTGAAATATCATCACATTATGTTGTTTTATTTTCGTTGGATTATATATTTTTGCGGTGTTTTGTCTTTTGCTACGCAAATGGACGGATATGGTACGGTGTATGGCTATATATGCATTCATATGGAAAATATCTATACAGAAGATTTAGCATTTAACGCTTTTTTATTTGTATCTATCAGTTTAAATTAAACGAAAATGTGTGCTATTACGAAACGAAGTAAAGCCAAATAGTTAGATGTAACTGCATTAGTTTTTCACATCAGTATAGTTACTAAACGATAATATTTGTTTCAGAATTTTCTAAGTTAAATCTAAATGCTTATTTTATAAATACTTTACCACAAACAACTCATAAACAAGGTGTATTATAAGTAAATACATGTATATTATCATCATTTTATAAGCTTTGAAAACACAGTGCTTGGTTGACGTATATCATATAACTTCTCTTAAGTTATGATACATCAAGTAGATTAAGTATCAAGTAGATTAAGTGCTTACAATTCCAGTATGAACTTGTCCGACATTTATGCAGTTTATATGCAAATCTGCTTAGAATTACTTTTATCTTCAAATTGTTAACTTCAACAATTTTAGATTTAAAGCTGTTCTATTATAAACATATGTATATGATACTGACTCATTCTGTATATTTGTAGTGTGCAACAGCAATCAAACAATGTTTGTCCCAGAGGGAACAACCGCAAATTTTCAGGTAAACATAACTGGAGACATTTTAAACAAACCGTTTGGTTTTCAAAAGGTATTAAGTTCACACATGTACATATTCAGTGTCAATGTTACTGTCGACAATCAGTCGTTTATACAGGAGTACAATCATACATCGCAACATGGAGTCAGCATTTACAGTCAGCTTTATTCTGACAACTTACTCGGCATCAGATTTGACCTATATAACGTTAGCATGCAGGATAATGGAACATACGTCTTATATTCTCAAACTCGTACCTGCTTTACAGTTTTTATCATGCGTAAGTATAGCTGAAACAAAACAATGAAAAATCGAGAAAATAATAAATATACAATGTTTGAATAATAACCTAATTTGTGTTTTTTTCAAGGTAAGATATCTAAAGAAATCAAGATTTGATTTTCATTAGCGAGAATAACGAAAACTGTAAACAGGTGTAACATTTAACGCGTTAGGAAATTAAATGTACAAACTTGGAAGTTAATTGTTAAAGGTTTATTGTTTCAAAAGTAATAATTTCTATCCAAATACTGCCGGTTGCAGTAAAGTTGTGAAAATATCATGTCAGTTATGAAAGTATCATGAAACTTATCAAAGTATATGAAAGGAATAAAGCAGGACAAAATAAAATAAGGCAGAAAAAATGAATGTATGAAAGAAAATCAATATAAAATGCAGATATAAAAGATAATGTTATTGATGATGATATATAAACACAGTTTTGGAGACGATGATAACATTTTTAAAATGCGTTTTTATATAATATACGTTTTTGTATTATGATAATTCAGAGATAACGATTGCACCAATTGATTTTCAAGAAGAGCATGAACCGGTCAACGTATATGTACATCCACATGGTTCGCTTATACGGCGTCTATTGGAGAATGTATCAATGGTGCTGTTAATTGACGGTATATCCGTCGATCAAATGACAACTTGTATTCAGCAAGATGATCTTTTCTGGATATCAAGTGTGAATAAAGGTTTACACGGAAAGAATATTACGTACCGCGCATTACTGAATGACGGTATTGCCATCGAAATCAATAAAACGTTGATTGTCAGATGTAAGATATACTTTTCAACAAAATGTATCATTTAGATTATTAGTCCCCTACCGGTTTACCGGAGGGGACTTTAGGTTTACCCTCCGTCCGTCTGTCTGTCCGTCCGTCAGTCCGTCCGTCCGTCTGTCCGTCCGTCAGTCCGTCCGTCCACAAAACTGGATCCCGCGATTACGCAAAAAGTACTGAAAATATTTTAGTGAAACTTGATATATGGATAGATGGCAGTATGGAGATTATGCACGTCTTTTTCTTTTCTTCTTATGTTGAAAATTCTGGTTGCTATGGCAACAAATAGACTGAAAATATGGCAAATTTTACACATAACCTGGATCCCGTGATAACGCAAAAGTACTGAAAATATTTTTATGAAACTTGACATATGGGTAGATGGAAGTATGGAAATTATGCACATCCTTTTCTTATCTTCCTATGTTGAAAATTTCTGGTTGCTATGGCAACAAATAGACTGAATTTCAAGATTTCTGATTCTAGTTTTTAAGTTTTTTTCACTATAAATACTTTATTTTCTTAAGGTATTTTTTTCAAACTTTAAATATAAGTTGCTTGTCATCAACCACATCATATGTGACAAGGTTTACAACTCTAGCACAAAATTTATCAGAATTACCTCCCTTGAACATAAAATTTTTTATGAAAAAAACATTGTTTTTTTTTAATAACTTCTTTTTCTGAATGTATCTACTTCAAACTTCATATAAATGTTTCTTATATTATCACTCAACATTTGTGTGAGTGTTCAATACTGCCAGAAGTATGCCCCTTTTGAACTTAGACTTTTTTTTTTTGAGAAATTGGTAATTTTTACTCCAACTTCTTCAATCATGATAGGATTTTAAAAATGTTATATTTGATTGATAACAGGGGATGTTTAAAAAATAACTTTAGAGTGTCCTTCAGTCCGTCTGTCTGTCCTGTACATAAAAACTGTTTCCTGTGATCACTTTTAAAGAACTTTTTCAACAAATTTATTTAAATAGGAACATAAGTGAATGGCCAATGGCCCTTCAGAATGTTGCTTGGGCTCTTACCGGTAGGGGACTTATGGATTGCTTGCAATACTATGATAATTGCTTGTTGATTTAAACAAAAAGACAAATAATACGTAAAAAAAGTTAATATTGCTTTTTTGTCTTTCTTAATAAATGAAAATATAATGTACAAAATACCATTCAATTAAATCCTTCAATTCATTCCTTTTTTAAAAATCGAAACTTTGATTGTCTAAGTGTTGATTATTGTATACAATTTTATAACACATAATTATAATGTTTATAATATGTATATATGTGTATTTATTACTAAAAACATGTGTCAAAAAAAACCAAAAAACTTTAGATTAACCACTAAACATTTGTCTCCAGATATTCAAACCTGTTGATGCATTTGCTCGTTCTCCTAAATGTGAACAAATACATTGATTTTCTCAAGAGAGATGAAATTAGTTAATGATTTTTGCCATTAATTTAATGAAGATAATTGTTTGAAATATTTGCATTCAATATTTATAAAGATGGACCCAGCTTTCCTGTCACACTTATACCAAGAAAGATACACTATAATTTGGTCAGTGATGACATCATGCCTGACGTAACATGTACCTCTAAATGTAATCCATCATGTAACATTTCTTGGGGAGAACATGGTATAGGAGCAATATTACGTCTAGGAAGGGTATCAACTACCAGCACAGGGAATACACATGTACCGTATCAAGATATGGTGGGCAGACATTAAATCAGACAATCAGTATTTTTGTCATAGGTAATTGCTATATGAACGTTTCTGTAATGTCTTAATTGTAAAATTGATATTTGTGAATGTTTTAGAAAAAAAACATGAATTCCAGGAGAACAAATGTAATTTGTTACCTATTTTGATTTTTTCAGAGGTAACACATCTTTTATCATTTGGTAACTAAGTGTAAAAACTTCACACACTCATTCATTATTCATTACAATTATTTATCTAATACATACATGATTTATATGTCATCATAGTTATATAATTGTCCGTGCCCTTACTATATCAGACCTTCGTTAGCCGTAAATGATGTAAGGATGTATTACGGTTTCTCTTGCAGACAACTCGTTTTATGACATTGCAATTGTGTGTTTAATTGCTATACAAGGATTAACAATAAGTATTGCAGTAGGGATATGCGCATATAAACTTCACAATAAAAACGGTATGTATTGCTGCGAGTTATATAGGATTTTAATAAATGGTTAATGTTGTTTGAAAGTTCTGAGAACCATTTTACATTTCTATGCCAAGATATTCATATAACTGTATAAGTTATGTAACAACATTGCATTTAATAATTTGAAATTAAATTAAATAAAATATTTTCAAAATAAATATTTCAAATAATTATGACCTTTTGCCATTCTTACTCTTAGTGTTGCATACTACTGAACCCTATAATTTTTGTAGGCTTAGCCAGGACAACATCTAGCCAAAGTAAAGTGAAAACTATAATACCGACTGTGTAAGTTTATTTCAATAAACGTTTTAAAACGTTTTATTCCACTTAGTTTGAAGTTCCAGAACGTTTATGAGTGAAATGCTTCGCTTATTAAAAGATGATCAGAATTTTAAACAAACACACGGAACTTTAACGTGATTGCAATGGCTTGTATATTGATTAATAAATATCCGGTTTATTTTTACTCAAAAATACTTTATCATCACATGTGTGCGAGTACATTTTTGACTACATAGGTAGACTTATCATTTCCTTGCTTTGTTATTTTTATACCATCTGACCAACATATCAAGTTTAAATTTTCATGTCCATGGGCTAAAACGTTGTCTTGTAAGGAATTTAGAAAGTATTGTTCAGTAACAAATCTATCTATACTTAAATAAACATGCGTAAAGACATGTACTTTACTGTCTGGCCCATGTGGCACAACAAGATAAAGAACCTTTGCTGTCTTGAGTTCAACCAATGCATTCTACGTTTATACACTGGCAAAAACGTAAACACCTTTTAAAGACAGATTAACTAATAACTGCAAAGCATCTAACGTAATCCACATAGGTAAAGTGCAATTTGATGGCGGAACCAAACTTGCTTAAATAGTAGCTGGCATTTAAAGCTTTAGCCGTTCTGAGCTTACAGCATATAAAATATTATTGTTAAAGGCGTTCTATAAGGATTCCAATAAAACTATGTTGTCAATACTGAAACATTACGTGTACATGTACATGTAATTTATATGGCTGCTTTAAAATAGAGTACATATGACCGCAAACAACATTTTTTATTAAGTAAAAATGTGTGTTCTTTCTTTCGACTGATTGTCAGTTCAACTTTCGGTACTATGCAATACACACATAAAGAAATTGTGTGCTGTACACTGTGTGTATTAGTGTAATAAAGCCCTGATGAAGGTATATTAAGCCGAATATAGTTGGATATTTTGTATACACTAACACTATATAATCGTCTATCGTCTCCACTACTGCGTTTAAGATTTGCAGTAATATCAGACTCATATCATTTCAGCATCATCATTAAATAAATCCCTTGTCATCTCCATCAACATTTCTTAAACTGGCTTATAAATGAAATCGAAAAGAAGTCTGTCCTTTATAATTTGCTTAGACGTATCGAGTAAATATGTGGAAATCAGAGAAGTATAATAATAATTCTATGATAGAATTTATTTCAGACAAGTTCAAAGAAAGGAGACTTATGAAATCGTGAAATTTGAAAGAAGGGGCGCAAGCGGAGTTTATGACAAAGCGGATTTGGAAAGTAATGTATTTTCTTACATTTAAATATGTCAACTTAAAAATTCATAAAATATAATGAATTTGAACAATACTAGTTAATACTGGCATTGACTTGAAAAGTATTGTTATATACTGACTATGGTTGCTGCTGTTATTTACTTGAATGGTACCTATAAATAAATAACGGCATTGACTTAAAAGTGCTATTAGCCTGAAAAATACTAATATTGAATGACATTGATTTGAATGATACTGAAATGGTTTTGACTTAAATGGTACTTGAAATATAAAATGATATCGAGTTGAATGGTATTGATATGTAATGATATTGGCAAGAATTAGTAATTGTAATTGATAGTAAGTACGTATCATTTGTTTTAAAAATGTTGTCTAAGATCATTATGGACATAGTCATTAACATATACATAGAAATTATAGTTTGTTTGGTCATCTTTACAGAGAGGTAAAATGAATGTTTTAGATCTTTATTATCATTAACTGTGCATCGTGTATGTTTTTCAGGTGATGGAACACAATCTTCTTCCAGTATATATAATAATACAATGATATGAGACGAAAAAGTCACGTTCCTATCCCTTGATTTCTCAAATTTATATGAGTTATATTTATAACGTTTATGAATGCTAGTTTCATGTTCGGTGACTAAAGAAATACTCATAAGAAGTAGATACATTTTATAAAATCTTTCCCGCTGAGAGAATTGACTAAAACCCACAATTTAGATAACATATAAATGTACTACTGATCGATTGACTGCTTGTGGCAACTGATTCTACCCATGCGACCAATGCAGACCAAGACCAGCTTTCAAAATCATAGTCTTCACTGGGCGCTTTTCACTTCATATTTTGAAAATTTTCCCATAATGATTTTTGTTTAGATTGAAACAAGATAGACAAGTCCATCTTAGCACATATTTAGCATGGAATGGATGAACTTTTTTATCTTAACTTTTTCATCTTTTGAAAATTATAGAGAGCAATCTTATTTAAGAGGCGCTATAAAACAAAAGGAGCGAATGAATAATCTGTAGGAAAACAATTCTTCAAATCAATTTTCTGTGACTATTATCTTCAACAAGATTGTGGAAATGAGTTCAAAAGTCTTAGGATAATAGTGTTTATACAGTTTATACAGTTTAAGTAATTATGAGCACTTTGAGATTATTTGGACGATTTTATTTTTTTTATTTCTGTTTTATGTAAATATATTTGATTGTTTTACTTTGTTTGTATTTATCTATAATAAATACTGTCAGTTTGAATGGTAACATTAACAACTCTATAATTATATTGAATATTTCACACAAAAAATGTTATTTGAATATTGTAAACAAACTTCATATCTCCTTACATGAAATAATAGACAAAAGTTTTTTTCTTCTACCATATGGATATGATCCTCTAGTAACCTTTCTAATCTTATGAAAATTATCTACTTACTTCATTACCCTGACTTTTAACAAAAATACAGTAAATCCTCATATCTTTTGAGTTCATCAAAGTCATTTGATGCAACCTCTAATGTTTTGTAAAAAGGCAGCTAATGATCTATACATTTCTAGGGTTTGTTAAATTAGGCTTATTGTATTACAGGAGAAAATAAGGATTCTATAATGACAATTATTTGGATTTACTTGTAATGTAGACGTACAAACAAGTCTAAGTAATTTATCATTTTAAAATGAAAACAAGCCGATAATCTAAATCTTGTGTTTCCCTGAGTTTGCTACTAAAATAATACCTTATTTGGATTTTGATAATGAATTATAATACATGCATGTATATCAAATACGATTTATGTCATTTTGTGGATTTGAAGAATTTTAACAAGTTTAAATTTCAAATGTGACATATATTGTAATAATAAAGTAAGCAGGTCTGAGGTACGGAAGGCTATTCAAAATTCAGAAAATGTACATCACAAATAGTTATGACACATGCCCATGTATTAAAATATTTAAGTACTTAAGTGAAGTCCATATTTCTTTACACTATCAATGATTTCTTCTTAATTGTGATTGTGAATATTTCTTTAGAAAAAAAAAGTTTCCTTAATAATATGGTATTTTTAACAATGTGAAATGTTTTAAAACAGTCGCTTCACCACGCATTAGTTTCAATATTTTAATAAATATATCATAAATGTTTCATTTTTAATAACCATCTTGAAATCTAATATATCAAGTTCTGTCATACAGTTACAATTATCAGAAACTATTAAGCAATTGATTGGCATAAGTATGCAGTATATGTGAATAGGATCATTTTTTAGAAATCCAATGCAGTTTTGTAAATTCAAGACATAATTTTGTCTGTAGGAAAAATTAGTAAATATTGTCTGTTTTTTTTTTTTTAAGCAAAATTTGACACAACACAACGATGTTTCTGATGGACGGGTATTTCCTCCTATACTAGAATTTGTACAAAAAGTTTAATAATTTATGGCGCACTTGTAGAAACGTTATCATCCGAGATAAAAAGGAAATTCATTTTGTGTCATAGTTTTGGGGACTTTTCTATCGAAAATGTGTAAAAGGATAAATGGGTATACATTTTTAACATACACAGTGAGTTTGCGGGGAAAAAAAAAAGGGGTTTATAAATTTCCCCATAGGGCCAATTTTTTTGAGGTTGGGGGAAATTGTAACGACAGAAAAAGGAAAGCGATAGAAATACCCAATTTTTCAGATCCCTTCGTTCTTTGGTTTATTTCAAGTCAAAAAAGCCTCGTGTTTTTCAAATACTTTTTTTCAAATTAATATAGAAATATTAAACCCAAAATTTTATAAATTTTAAACACATCTGCGGATGTTTACTTTCCCAAAAATTTTTACCTTTTTAAATTTTTTAAAATTGTTGTTTTTGTGTTTAAAACCCAAATTACAGGGGGGGGGCGGTTTAGCTTGCAATTACCAACTTAGGGTCCATTAAAAACGGGGTTTTAAAATCAAACGACCCCAAAAACCCTTTTCAACAATTTTCCCATGTTGGATTCCTTTTTTCTAGGGGGGTTTTTCTTCTATTTTTACAATTCGTTTAAAAAACTGGGTCATATTGGGTCTTTCAAAAAATGCTGTATTGACATATTTGAAACATTAAAAAATGGGGGTTGGGTTTTATTTCCACTACAAAACCCGAATAGTTTTGAATTTTGTGGTCAAAAATCCATATCTCCATATACATTGTAACCATTAATTTATATAAAATGCAACCCTGTCTCTGTTTCTGCAACACTTTTTCTTCCTTTGGCACAAAAAATTAGAGGGAATATAAAAGAAACATTAAAATCATTTGTTTAATTTTTGTAATTTATTGTTCTTGATTAGTTTTATTCCTTATCTTTGACTGGGAAGTAATGTTGGTATTCATGTGAAGCTTCTAAGATGATTAGATCATACTAAGGAAAATTCGGTGCCTCTAAAACATAATTATATATTTCGCATAACCTTAAAATATTTAGACATAACTATACATATAACTGTATAACTAATAATATTGTTATGTCGTATATGTTATCTTAAAAAATAAATGCCATTTGTGCAAAGTATTTCTAAAAAATAATTTTACTCGATATTGAATTAATTTTTTCTCTGTAAAATGCACACCTTACACGTGCAGTATCTTTGATACACGTGCAAGTTCCCGCCCATTTCTGTGAACAAACATCAAAGAAATGTTATCATTATACTTAATAAACATTGACACTTTGGAACCTGATAATATTGACTTTTCATCCTGTTTTATTATATAAAATAAACAACACTACGATAGTTTTATCATTAAAGGTACGCAGTAAGTCTAATCTTAGTCGACCTTTATACTTTCTTATACAAAAATGTTTCAGATAATTATTTTGAATTTTGATACAGTGGATATGTTACAGTTAACATTTTTTGAGAAGCGAAACACAAGAAAAACATGCAAAAGCCTTTTCTTTCTAAACATTTGAAAATAAATTTACCACCTGTGAAACATATGAGATATTTTGTTAGGCAGGTTCTTTCGCTTTTAATCAGACTTTTTCATTTATCAGTATAAAACCCGCTCTCTTTGATAAAGTTTTAAATCATTTTGTAATCTAAAATTTTATGTAACGAGTTTACCTGATATTTTTATTTCATTCATTATTAAATTTTAAACTGTGATCAAATTTATTCAACAAAATGTTTGGTTTTACGTGTATTCTTGTGGACATTTAATTTCTGTTCTTGTTTTGCAGAAATTGGAAAAGCAAATAAAGCTGCTGATTTATCTGGTATATCAAATATTAAACTAGCAGTAGCTTAAGATTGTGTTCATATAAAATCTAAATTCATATTCTGATAATATTTGCTGTTATTAAGCATTACAAATTTTATTTACACATTTACGAAATATCTTATAGATCCTATATGATTTGTGATTGAAATTGTTACTGTGTATATATCACACTTTAATCAATAAATTATATGCATTCATTTCTTATTGGAAAATTTGACTTAGAATGTATAGAAAATAAATTTCTAATTACCTCCCTTTATTTTCATGAAATGTTAAATTCTGTAATATCTTTAAAAATAATGCTTATTGGAACTTACAATATTGACAAATCTTTATTTGAGCATCATATTTATGAAATAAAACCATGAAAAAATATGTTACAGGATTTTTAAACGATTAATTAAACATTTAATAATTAAAATGCTGAATTATGTACAGGAGTACATGTACAAGTCTGTATAATGCTTGCTCAAGCAAACGAATCAAATCTATATATTTATAACGATTCCGGTTTATAAACGTTGCAGGTTTTGCAATAAATACAGAAGCATTTACATCATGTACATTGAGTTGAAAAATGCACCTTCAAGGCAATAAGAATTATTGACAAGACATCAGCAGGCTTTCATGCCGCTGTCAGGTTTTAGTTTTAAACATAAAATAAACACTTGAGGTATAAAACAAACTTAGACAACTATAGCTGTGTAAAGTTAATTTAACCAAATTCTTGCATGATTTTGATTATCTTTAATTTAACTAAGAATGGTATTTTGATATAAGTTTAAAGGTTTAAAAGTTTCAATGAAAACAGGGTTAAGTTGTACGACATCTTGATTGCGAGATTGAATTGATGCATTGATTACAATAAAGTTTTATTTCCTGTAATAGTTGATAATCATGTATTCTAAGTTATACGAGAACATAACGTTAAAATGTAAAATGTAACATTTTAGAGCTATATATTCAGGACAGTAAACGCTTATAAAAATGCTTATTGCGAAGTGTGCTTGGAGTTACAGAGATGTTTATTTTCTAAACGAGCCATTACGACATTCTGCGTTAAAATGAGTTATTTAAACATGTACTTGTAGTAAAACTGTAGCAATTTGTAATTATAAACTGTGATGTGAACCAGAATAGGTTCGAGAAAATTTATCTGTATTTTCTCATAAAATTTAAAGAAATACATACACATTTTATAACTAAAGTGACTACGGGTATTTCTAGAGTTAACCATGATCGAAAAAAACAACAAAAAAACCCCAAAAAAAACAAAAAACAAAAAAAAAACATAAGAAATTGAAATAGTATATGTGACACGATGAGTCGAATTTTATAACAATAACAAAATATCTTCTTCATTGGTTAATTTAAATACTGTTAAAGTATTTTTAAAGACACTCTTCAACGTTTATCATAAAATACTTTCTAGTTTTAATTACTAATTTTGAGGACAATATCAGACATGAAATGTCATACAGGCACGCATACGCATACGCACGAATGCACACACGTATACGCAAATGCAAACAGGGTTGTGTTTAAACTCTCTTATTACATGACCAAAATATTACTTTGAAGATCACCATTGCTTTTTAATAGTATTAACGTACTTGTAAAACATTTCATTTTAAGTCCGTAAGTCATGTAAGTGGAAC